AGACAGACGGACAGACAGACAGACAGACGGACAGACAGACGGACGCCGGACAAAATGTGATCAGAAAAGCTCACTTGAGCTTTCAGCTCAGGTGAGCTAAAAAGCTCACTTGAGCTTTCAGCTCAGGTGAGCTAATAAAAGTCAATCAGCTTTTGACTTGATGAAAGGATGTATTTGATGACAAGGTCATTGTATGGACCACAGAACTTACGAAATGATGACTTTAAACGAGACTGCTGATATTCTTGTTTCATCAACATTTTTGTCAATAACTTTACCTCGTTTTAGAAATTGTTCATACGTAGAGCATGCTCTGGCGTATCGAATCAACTGAGAGATATAAACCCCCTATGCAGGTGATAAGGTTATATTGCTGCATAAGTATAGGAAGGTGAAGATTGAAAAGTTAAAGTCATCACGTTTATCATAAAGCTTTGTTGTTAGATTACCATTAACGTCCTTTTAGTATGAGGGCAATAGTCAAATCAGCCCCAAAGTAAGAACTGCTACTTTGCAAGTTTTTGCGACGCACTGGTAATGGCATGGTTTCGTTCCATGTAGGACTATTAAGATTTTTTTCAGTGCATTTACTTTGAGAAATAAGTAGTTATACAGTTACTTGGTTTAAAAGTTAAAGTACGTTTTCTGTAGGTACGCAAAAATTTGTTTACTTCTAAAATGGAAAGACACCTTTTTGGAAAAATTGATTCGTTCAATTGTTTTCCGAGTAAAACTAACCCGCATTTCATTATGTTTTGGAGAAAGTAATTGGTTCATGAGTTTTTTTTTTACAGTTCATGACGTTACTGTGCTATTTCTCTTACATTAAAGTTTGACCTCTGAGTATTGCACTTAGCAATCGTTATTGTAAATAAATACTTGTTTACATATTCAGCCCAGCAGACTTGGTGTCTCTCCTTCGTGTACAATATGTATGGCAGACATATGGGAACACTACAAGTAAATGCAGGGTCTTCTGGCTCCCTTTCTACTTTATGGTATACATCTGGAAATAAGGGAATTAACTGGATTACTCAAAGAGTTACCATTCCTTCAACTGCTAACCTTGTGGTAAATGAATGATTTTTTTTATAATTTTGATTATCTCGCTTTGTTCTTTTAATTTGTTTTTTTTAATTACTTATTCCATTTTGCTATATGATCTACGGTTTCCTTTTTAGAGAGAGTGTTATATAAAGACCAAGAACAATTAAAAGTCTCTCCGGCACTTTGAAAATTTTCCGGAAATAACGTGGATTTATTACTTCAATACGAGATTTTTTTTACCAAATTTATTTCGTCTGAAAAAAAAGAAACGAAAATGTTAAATTTATTTGTACTTGTTTAAAAAAAAACATTGAATTAGATAACTACTTGAACTCCCATTGACTAAATATAGGGTTCTAATTTATAAGAGAAATAAGTGTAATAAGCACTGCACCATGCGAAACAACAATGTCCCTACCTCAGATTAGGCTATAAAATTGAAATCATATGCCTGACTTTATGTACATTTTTTCCACAAAAAGTGCAAAAAGTATACCTCTTCAAAATTAAATTGGAAAGCAGCAGGTGTTTAAGTCTAGACAAAGATTACTTAATAAATAAAATGTGGGTATGATTTTTGTTAGGTCACGTGAGTCACTCAGGTGACCTAAAAACAAGGGTATTTTGCCAGATTTGAACATTTGGGCCATTTGGTCAAGTGTTCTGGTCCTGACCAGGGCTCTATTAATTCTACTGAGGTACTACCCTTTGCTATTCACCTTTGATAATTAATCACTGTAAAGAATTTATTCGAAAGGTTAATAGAATAAGAGAATTATTCAAGATTTTTAATTGTATAATACAAAAAGTACTTTCATAGTTTTAATGCTCAGGTAGACGTGTAAATAATATATAAATAAATATGAGACAAAAAGTAACTTTTTTAAATGTTCTTCAAAGACCAAAAGAGGCGAATGTGAGAGGTAATAATATATGAGGGTTGGTTTGTTTGTTTTACACATGTAATGCTGTTTAACGTCCCTTTCGAGAAATTTTCACTCATATGGAGACGCCACTACTTGCCGGTGGAGGGCTGCAAATTTATACCTATAGTATAGGATTTGAATCGAGGCGTCTTCTAGAGTAGAGGGGGTAGCGATATGTGTGTCTTCACAACATAGTGCGTCGATGAGATCAATAAAATAAGACATCAGTTCAGCAATAAAGTTACAATAAATCGTGGTAAAACTATAGCTCTACAGTTCAGAAACATTGTGCAGAGCAGGCCCGAAGCAACCAAAACTTGAGGGGCCAATTTCCCAAAATAATTTGACAAGCAAAAAAGTATTAATAATAATATCAACTGTCCAAATTCCGTAATTAATTTGCCAGTGCTCGACCTTGCAGCGACAAAAAAAAGGGGGGGGGGGCGAGCATCTAAAGGCATAAAATACAAGAAATAATATCCGACAAAATAGCGGCGGTGTAAATCGAAGGTTTTTAGAATACTTGGATCTGTAGCTCTCTGGTTATCTGTCGGAATTTTCTTAACCAGAGAGCTGCAGCTACTGTATATATAGCATAGACTTTTCTCTTAAATGTCACAAATATGCTGTAATTTGGAACTATGAACTATTTTGAAAAAAAGGTCAAGTTCATGGGACACGTGGTCGATTACCATGGTATTTTACAAAAGCCATAGTGCTAGACAATATATATGCAAAATATCAAATCTATACCACTTACAGTTCTTGAGTTATAGAATGTCTTAGATAGACAGACGCCGGGTAAAGTGATCCCTACATGCTCTGCAGGCGTCACAAAAATGACTTTCGGATTTTTGGAACCTAGCTAGGTAGTAAGCAGGTTAATTTGCTAATTAAAATTTCAAGCAACACCCCCTTCTTATACACTGGATACAATAGAGACAAAAAGATAAATATTGTAATAATACATTGCATATTGACAGGTTGACATAAAAGGCATCCGTGGCTGGGGATACCGAGGTGACATCGCTCTAGATAATGTGACCATGACTCCAGGATCTTGCTGAGGCTGGTAGACTACTGTAATTGTTTGTAATGTTAACAAAATTCATCATTTTTATGATTGTATGTGGAAACAAAAATTGTTACTTTTGTTAAATTATGATCCATGACATGAACAAGTAATGCAGTTTAATTTATTTTCATGTTTATGTTATGCATTATAAGATGCTAAGGAGCAAAATTTACGTTTTGTTAGCTTGCCACTTTACTGCTGTAAATTGATAGAATACAAAAATCACACTAGGCATATACATGTACTTTGCTCCAAGGGAAATAAATAACGACAAATTAAAAAAATGAAATACATTGATGATATTTATTTACCATTGCAATTTTACTAGTATTTTATGATGACATAAATTGCATGTTATTGATTGTGATCACTTTTCATTAGACTTATCTTTCACAAGACTGAATAAATTTTGAAAACAAACATTTTACTGTTAGTGGCTTATGTTCAATTTTCCAACTATTAATTTTCAACTTAAAACGTTGTCTATGGAATTATATGTACTCTATATGCGGACTGATTTATATTGAGGAAATAAAAGATTCACTCAAGAAGAGAATGTCAGGGCATATTTTGGAAATAAATAATTTGGGCCATCAACATCTTTGTAAACATTTCAATTCGCCTGAACACTCTGTTCTCTTAATGAGGTTAGAATTTTTGGGGGATAATATCATCCAACTAGCAGTCCTACTTTGAGTACTACATTCCGTAGACAACCAGAAGAATACTGGATCAGAAAACTAGGCATGGCCTTTCCGTATGGTTACAACGACCGCATAAATAATGTTGGAAATCGTGTGCGAATGTGAATGTGATGGAACTCTAACAATACGCCTAGACGTACATGTAGGCAGTTTTAGATAATTATACTGGTTAGAGATCAGAAGTATGGTGTCCGTCTGTAAACAAATTTTCAAAATGCTTCTCTTCAAATTTTGATCTGATTTCAGTATAACTTTACAAACATGTAAACTACACAAAGATACATAATGCTATACATCAGTTTATGCTTTCGATAAACGGTGTTGCCATGGTCACTTGAAATAAAAATTTCTTTGAAATACTTTGAAAAATACTACTCCTCCTACAGTTTTGACTTGATTTTGAGGTGACTTGGCACACAAGTAGACTACACTAAGATACATTATTCTATGTATCGGTTTTGATTTCTTTGAATATTTTCACGGTTATTAAAAATAGAAATTTCTGTGAAATACTTTGGTTACTCCTCTTACAGTTTTATCTTATTTCATTATAACCTTGCACACAATTAGATTAGACTCTTAAGCTACATAATTTTTTGTAACGTTTTTTGATTGGTAACTTAAAACTAGAAATTTCTGTGAAATACTTTCAAAACACTACTCTTCCTTCAGTTTTGGTCTCATTTCAATATAATTGGACACTCAAGTAGACTACGCTAACACACATAATTTTATTAATCGTATTTTGATTTCTTTGAACGGTGTTTGCCATGGTTACTAAAAATAAAAATCTCTGTTAAATTCTCTCAAAAAGCTTCTCTTCCTAGAGTTTTAGTCTGATTGAATCTTGTCACAAACGTCTCTACTAGATCATTAATCTATTTATTGCTATTGCTATTGCAAAGTTAAAGTACAAGTGCTACTATTTTCTTCCTTTGTTATAAGTACAAAACCAGTAGAGCTACAGCCTTGTCAGATACTTCTGGTTCATTTGGCGACAGAAATTTATTTCTATTATGAATTCTGTCGAAGATTATGCCAGACGTTGGGCTTAATATGAAAAGGAAGATCTGGACCCTTTGTCAGAATGGAAATACATGTATATACGAGAATTGTATAAGAAATTTTTAAAAAGGCAATTCATATTCATGCAACCTATCTATCCTATCGTTTTCACTAAATCGGAGGTGATAAAAGAATTAGAAAGACTATATAAACAATATATTATGGTTTCATCAATTAAGAAATAAGGTATCATTTTAAAACATCTAGGCCTATCGGGATATAAATACGGGTTGGTCACGAGATCAAATTCCATAAAGCCCGAACATAATGCAGGTTTAAATGTCAAAGTAAGTCGTCAACTGTAAAGGTCAGTGCTTCTCACAAAAGTACTAATAGTACGTAGAACTCACCTATTTGACTGGAATGTAAAAAAGTATTAAACACTGAAATGTGATTTTGAAGATTTTCATCTTTAGAAAATGAACTTTGAATGTTAGATTTCCAGACGTAGAATTAAAACCAATTTTTTCTTAAATACTGCTATAATAAGACGATATTATTATAATATTTACATTTGCAAATGTTTTCCTTTATATAACACTATTAAAAGTAACGCGTATCTATATCCGTATAAACACGGGTTCCTCGCGTCATAAATGTTCGACGCAATTTCTCAGTGACGTCATAAAGGGTCGACGCGCAATCAGTGGGTCAAACACGTGCCGTTGGGTTTGAAAAATAAACGTATCACGCGTTTAAGATTATAATCAGACAAATATAAAATATGAATAAGTCACAAATGTAAATATAAGTAATAAGGTATTATTTTAAAACATCTATCGGGCTATAAGTACGGGTTGGTACGAGATCAAATTTACCATAAAGCCCTTCGGGCTTTATGGAATTTGATCTCGTGACCAACCCGTATTTATATCCCGATAGGCCTAGATGTTTTAAAATGATACCTTATTTCTTAATTGATTAGATATATCGACGATGTATTATCAATAAACAACAGTTACTTCCATTCTCGATATATCCCAGTGAACTTGAAATAAAAGAAACCACAGAGTCTGCCACATCTGTTTCATACTTGAATGCTTTACTGACTATAGACAATAAGGACCAATTAACAACTAAATTGTATGACAAATGAGATGACCTTAGCTTTTCCAACGTCAACTTTCCTTATTTGTGTAGTATGTATATCCCACTATTATCTGCAGATGGCGTGTACATCTCCCAACTTATTTGATACTAAAGAGCATGCTCCGAGTACGATCAATTTTTAAACCGAGTCAGTCTACTGACAGTTAAGTTGATGTTACAGGGATTTCAATAATCCTGTTTGAAGTTAGCATTTCATTAATTCTATGGTCGTTATAATGCCCTTGTTAGCAAATATAACCTATCATTGGGTCGTATTTTGACTGACGTGTTTCATACCAATTGTTAGGCCTTTGTTTTTATAACGGAATATGACAACGGAATGTAAAGTAAATAATATACGCTACCAATTTTGATGCACCAGATGCGCATTTCGACAAATTTTGTCTCTTCAGTGATACTAATGCCGAAACTTTGGAAATCCGAAATATTTAAATACAAAAAAAAAAGAACATTGAACAAATGAAAAAAGGGGGTGCCAAAGACTGGAGCCAAATACGTCGAAGGATCAGAGCTATGCATGAGGGAGATTATCCTTAATTTTGAAACAACTTCCTAGCAATTAAATATATATCCGTATTTTCAAGCTAGTATCGAAGTACTTAGCTACTGGGCTGTAGAGACCCTCGGAGGCTATCAGTCCACCAGCATACGCCTCCACCCAGGGGTCATAATGTAAATCATATACCGTACCAATTTTGATGCACCAGATGCGCATTTCGACAAATTATGTCTCTTCAGTGATGCTCATGCCGAAACATTGGAAATCCCTAATATTTTTAAGCCCCCCCCCAAAAAAAAAAAAAACATTGAGGAGCTGAAAAAGGGGGTGCCAAAGACTGGAGCCAAATGCGTCGAAGGATCAGAGCTATCTAAATGTACGTTGTGTTGATCAGGTAGAGGAATATTCAAATTAAGTACAAAACAAAGATCTAACAATTGGTATGAAATACAAGTCAAAATACGACCCGGTATTTAAGGTTAGATATACTGATAAAGTCATTATAACGAGCAATATATCTATTGTATTGACAAAGTTTCATTTTATGCTATTCTAATGAACGTTCTTTCTTTAGTCGCCCCTTAAAGAGGAAGGGGGTATGTATCATGTTTAAATCCGTTTCAGCAAATATTTACTATTTAATTTTATAGTAATTACATATACTTTTAATTAGCAAACCAGGGTCGCTCCCTTGAGATTCCCTCCTAGTTCCACCAGCAGTTTCTGTAGGTAAATTTGGCTGTAAATGTCTCTCGATTTGTTATGAGAGTGGTCTTACAGAATAATGTTTGTAAGAACATTTGCTAGCATTGAACAACCATTCTAATTTTTATGGTAAATAAATCAAGTAATGTAGTGGACGTTAAGACCCAATGAACAATGTTGAATCTATTGTATAAACTGAACTTGATCTAAACGGACTGAGGTTTATATCCACAGCTAGATATCATGTTTTTAAAGTACTAAACAGCGTTAAATTCCTTAAGATATGTACAATATCTCTTCTTATTTAAAATTAATCCGTGGAATTATGGTTTTTAAATCCATTCCTGAATGATTAAGAATTACGTACAGCTTTGTAATTCTGGGATAAAGCTTTATGGTCGTGACAGTACACGGTGGAGATTTTAGTGGACTCGGGGAGAATTCGGTAATCTAGTGCCGGACAATGGCGTTTAGACGGACCACGTTATGTCCCTGACAGCTTTTCCTCGCTCCACGGTTTGTATTTTTACTTTCTTCCTTACGACAGCTACTGTGATGCCTCAGTGTTTAAGATTTGGTCTATTGACAGCCATTTCACATGGTTCTGTTGCAGGATTACAAGTAACCGTTGACTTTCGTAAAACTGGCATTGAGAAAACTTGCAAGTCCGATATGTCAATATTGTCCTTCCACGAGAATTGCCATTTTTAGTGTCTCAATATTTCTTTGGCGATTGAAGTTACTGATAACGTAGAGAATGGGTTTTTAAATCTCTCCGACGGTCACGCTATTGATCATACACAAGATGTGTGTATACCGTTGATTTGACAGAACAATCGAACTATCATTGATCTTCGGTCCAGATTTAGGCATAGCTGGTGGTATGGTATTCCCTCTTTAACGGATCCGTATGTTTTGTTTTTTAAGATCTCCGATACCTTATGTAATCATAATTTTTATCCATAAATACCATCGAGACTTTGAACAAAAGGTTAACACGAATCCAGATAAAATCTTGAAGTAAGCGGAACAAAAATGGACTACACAAGCTTCATTGTTTTTTTGTTTTTTTTTTTATAAAAATTATTTATTTAATAACAAAAGCATGCAACAAGTTTGATATTAAGTGTTAGTGCTCAAGATTTGTACATTTATACAATGTTAAAAAGGACTTATTCAAATAACGACCTTCTGCTTAGAACCGTGAGTAATATGAACGTATAGCAGATAGAGAGAGAGAGTTTATTACGTTGTATATGTAGATGTCATTGAAAGCGGACAACACTTGTCAATTTACACTAATTTATGAATATTTATATAGATTTTTTAAATGATAGTGCTATTCTGATGTTGTATTCACTAAAACTGTTGCTGTCTCGGATACAAAATTTGAGTTCATCCGATTTGCATCGAACTTAAAAAAGCCTGCTTCCCCCTGAGGCAAATTATACCACCGTCATTAGTGCTTTTCAATTGAAAATGGTAGTTGTGGATAAATTCTCGCTTTATGATTTTACACAGAATATTCTCAACAATCTTTAAATTAATGTCATGTTCACATTATTCTGCACTTTCACTCTATAAAAACTTTGTCTTTAAAATTCCTTTACAAAGGAGCATAGTTTTGCACACATTTAACGCAAACCTTTAAAATTTTATCACATTTATTGTATCGCATGTATAGTTTTGTTTTTCAAATTAAGGTGGGGGGGGGGGGGGTTACTGAAGAGTTCTTAACAGATATAACAATCAGATATGTATTTATAAATAGATATAACAATCAGATGTGTATTTATAAATAGATATAACAATCAGATGTGTATTTATAGTTTCTTTCGGTTGTCGCCATTCATACTGAGCTCTCTCTATTGTTTATTATTTTAAAGAGAGAACAGAAGTCAATAGACATAAACGTCACAGGCACTAAAAATACATCAGTCGAACCTTCCTATGTGTTAGAAATCCCCACATACATGTAACATACTTAAATGGCAATGTGGTCAAAATATAATTAACCTATGTGTATATAAGTATTTATTAAAACAGAAAGGTTCTTTTTTAATAAATTCAATTCAATGGATCTACCTTTGAAATGTAACGGTACGCCGAGTTTAAATGTATACAAGGCGATACTATATGAGTAATGAGTCATGAAATAGACTTGAATTGGAACTGCCACATTACCTAGACATTTTAAATTGTCACAGTAGGTTTAAAGTTAAATGATAATCTTTTTTTAATCGACATGCTTTTAATCATTTGCTTAAAAAAATCCTACAAAAATGAAAAAAATTCATCGTGTCGACGGATGCACGAAGTAAACCTAAATATCAAGCAGACTTTTTCGTCTGTGTAATTGGATATAAATTAACTCATTAGGTTAGGTACTCAATGAACTTATTCCGATTTTAAGTTACCGATGTTTATTGTAAAGTCAGCAGACAGAAAATTCGAAACAAAATAAGCTACCCTTATAACTTCAACAACTGTTAAAACTAATTTAAAGTCAAAAATCAAAAAGAGCAAAGTTCAGTGACACCAATCAAACTTCTGAAGTGGTCTCTACTGGACGGAAGAAAGGAAAGAAGGGAATAAAAACTGATGTTCCGGAGTCGACTGATATAGTTACAGGAAATCACGTGATTTAGATAAATATAGGCTAGGCTAGGTTGCGTCAATCCGGAGTTACCCTGATTACCCCTCTCTAAAAACCCCTCAAGTTATCAAGAGAATGGATACAAAGCAGTATGTCAATTTAAAGAGACCAGTTACTCCGCAAAATCTTTATCTTTCATTTTATTAATTATCGGCTCTATAAAACAGTAGGCATAAATTTTGATTTACATTGCGGACGGAAAAGTGGTCTTAAACAAACAAAAATGTCAATAAATTAAAAAATCTCAGCGGGCCCTTCGATCTATAATCTTTAGAATTGATTAAGATTAAATTTATTTCAGATAGCTTTTCATTTCGATATGACTAACTATCACTATACTTTTATCAGCTGTCTGCCCCTTTATTCAGTCATAAGTTTTATTTTCAGTGAGAAAAGAGATTAGGCATTTGTAAAAATATTTCACCACTTTTCCATGTCGTGATCTCCTTTGTCATTGTGCTTTCCGTGTAATTATAACTATTGTTTGCAAAATCCTACTGCAAACAGAGTAGAACCTCTTTCACGTGTACGTCACTACGTAGCAAACAGAACACTTTCTCGGTTTTTTTTTTTCAAAGACATTGTGGTTAGAATATATTGTGTTAAAAATGGGAACTAAAGTGAGATTTCATTTGAAACCTGATGTTCACATCTTTGATTCAAGTGTCGCGTGTGACTGGCAGGTAGGAATAGTATCTTGAGAATAACATCATAATTATAGTTATGAATACGTTAAAATACAAATATACACTACGGAGATTTCGCAGCCAATAGATCAAAATGCAGTTTGACTTATCAGACTTGCGTCTAACAATCAAGTACGAGATACATGTTTTTAAAACACTTTGGATAATTGTTCAATCTATTGTAATACAACTAGCTGATTACACAAAATCAGTAATAATACGCACACACAAACAAATCATATTGACTTTGGACGCATATACGATTGCACGTTTTTTTGTTTGTTTGTTTGTTTTTGTTGATACGATATATGAAGACCACTTGTTACATAAATTTACACAGTTACACTGCATAAATCACCTTCGAAGGCGACTCTTCCTGTACTTATCACCCCTGCTCTGCGATCAATCAGAAACAAAGATCAGCAGTGTTGTAAATTCCTACTCAATTCGAGGATTATACAAAATTTCTGATTGTAGACATACATACCGGTAATCCTAGGTTACAGGGTTTTCTAAGAATATCATATCAATACTTGTAAATTAATAAATTTTGCAAATAATTTCGTAAACGTACACACTACTACACTAGGTATGAGATGATGGACATAAACTATACTAATATAGTATTGCATAGTAAATTCAATTAAAGGTTAACTTTCATTTTCGATAAACAGCTATGAAATAGCTAGAGTACGAAGGTGGTTTCGCTTGGCGGATCTAAGTAAATAAAGTTAAACACAATATTTGTACAGTTACATGAAAATAATGCCACCTCAAGTTATTTAATAAATAACAGTATAATCATAGATTTTCCTTTTTTCTTCCTCAGTTAAGCCGTTCTAATACAGTTCCGAAAATGGTAACGTCTTCTTCAATCCGGATATCGGAATCTGTCAGTATCAGTGTCGATGATATCTATAATATTGCAGAGCGGGAAAGATTGTGTTACTCCGCCCGTGGTAGGCGACATGCTGTTGCAACGGCACAAAGCCAGACCTACAAGATGGATGAAGTTTATAAGTCAAGACCTCACACAAGTGCCAGTGGATATATCTCTAACTATCGGCGAGACTTAGTGACACCAACAAAAAGTATTCGCAGTGAACCTGTGCCTTCTAGGGTTTCTTCGCGAGCTGGAGGGGATTTTGATGACGAAAACGAAACTGACGAATACCCCATTAATTATATAAATACCCCGTCTGTCTGCTGTGAGGTCATTGGTCCCCAGGCTTGCGAAGAATGTATTCGAGCTCATCGAAGAAGAATAGAAAAAGAAAAGTTTGACGCCCGTTTTCCAAACTTGCGAATTTCGAGTCAAAACATCACGACTTCAACACTCTTACAGCGTTATTTTCCACATCTTACGCATGAAGACATACTGGTAAAACTGGCAAGAGGTGAAATAGCTGTACCTAATATACCATCTCGACCAGCGTGTCGAGATCAAAATGATAAACGCTTACGTGATAGAGACGCAGTAATCCAAAGACGTGCACAGGAATCTGTAAAAATAAGCAGAGCCAAACAATCCATCTTACAGAAGAAAATCAAATCCACTTTGTTCTTCGTAAATATCGAAGATTTAAACATGAAAATAAATTCAGGAAAAGTGTCACGGTCACTTGGATTTAATTGTAAACCATCAAAGAAAAAATCTACTTCAACTGAATTCGAGAGTGTTTTCCCGTCTTTTGTGAGTCCAAGGAAGGTCAGCTTTATATCGGAAGCAAGTGGGAGAAAATTCCATTACGAGCCTCCACTCCTTCCTAAAGAAAATCAGATCCATGAGCCTGGCTTCTTCGCGGGATCTGACTCTTCCTACAAATTACCAGAACGACTTCCTGACACAATTGAGTTCGTTCAAAATGGGATAACAATTAAACGCAGTCTGTCGACGTTATCGGAGCCGGAGGAATCCTCAGTTCTAACATTGAATGAATCTGTCTTAGAAGGCGAACGCAGTGATACAGATGACGATATATCTTTTAAAATGTTAAAAGACAGCAGAACCTCCGAGACAGAATGATCCTCGTTGTAAGGGGCTTCATTAAACCCATTCATCCAAATTACATTTCATGATCATGTGCATCGATATAGACACTGGAATAAAGTTTCATCAACCGTTGATATTTTTATATATTGTAAATTTAAACACGATATTCTCGAGACTCTGTAATAAAAATAGTAATTTGATTTGCAGACCTTTAAAAAAAATATGTTATATAAATTACCATAATGATCAAATATTTTGAAGATATCTGCTCTTCGACTGATATCTTCAAAATGTTTGATCAGGAACGACAACTCTTAAAATTTTTATTTAATTTTTTTTATTTAATTTAAATATCTGAAAATGAAATTGAAATCTTTTCATGCAGCAATTTTCATTTCATGCATCTCAATATGATTCGATGTTCTTTGAAGTCTTAGAATAGTCTAGTGAAAAGTTAACATGAAAGAACAGTATTCAATCTCAAAAGTCCAATGAAACGATACAAATTTGGAGCAGAAAAAACATGGACCTCAAAATTTAGAGGTGGGATCAGGTGCCATGGAGGAGTGAGCATCCCCTGCCGACCGGTCACACCCACCTCGTGTGCTCCTTGTCATGATCAGGAAAAAAACCTGGAAAATCCGTAGACAGTTCAATGTATAAATAATGGCCTAACAATTAGTATGAAAAACGTCAGTCAGCATTTGACTCAATGATAGGTTTTATGTGCTGACAAGGTCATTGTATCGACCATAAAACTTGCGAAATGACGACTTCACACGAGACTGTTGATATCCTTGTTTCGTCAATTTTTTTGTCAATAGATTGCCTCGTTTTAGAAATTGTTCATACGTAAAGCATGCTCTTGGGTATCATATCAACTGAGAGACATAAATCCCCTATGCAGGTGATAAGGGTACTAAGCAGTCAAGACAATGAGCATTTACTAGTTTGCTATATGAGAAAAGAGTACTTTTATTATATTTAATAACAGTCATTTATCGATTGAACAACCATGTATACATAAGATTATGCTTCTATCAAAGCCTAATATAATTTTTGAACTGTAAAAAGGTAGGGATCTCATATTTTTGCACAAATATTGTTTGGTACGAAAGGTATTGCCCATGCGAAATACCGACATGACTGTCCGCGTGACCCCAAACTTTTGACTCTTTCTTAAATGGAACGCCTCAACTGTCTTATGTGGATAATATTTATGTTTTGATGATATTTCAACATCATATTTAGGTACTTTGACATTATATGCTGATACTTTGACATTATATGCTGATACTTTAAAATGATATGCCGATACTTCATTATATGGTGCTTTAGAAATAGGTTAAACATCGGGGTCATGATGCGTTTAAAACGAAAGAAATCGTCTAAAACGCATGTAACGGAAGGAGTTAAAGTACCGTAGGTTCCAGCTAAACTTTTAGAAACTAGAGGTACTGTGAGCACTGAGCTCACAAAATGATATCCCTCGTTCCAATATGAATGTAACGACAAAGTCCATATTTTGGTATGGGAAAGCCCAAATATCTGTCGGATCAAAACATAAAGTAAGAGGTCACAATAGCACTGTGATAAAGATTCTGTGAATGTATCACTAATTTTATTCAGTGGTATAGGAGGAATTGTGGATAAGAAATGGGTAATCCTGATATTAAAGAAAGAATTGCACTGTCCTTGTTTTACTATGGTGAACCTGAAAACGTGTCCGATCATAAAGTAAAATAAGAGATGCACAATGACACTATGTAGCAAAGATTCTGTGAAAGTCTTATTTAATTTCATTCAGTGGTATAAGAGGAGTTGCGGATAAGAGATGGGTACCCCAAAGCGTAACAGATGGAAGGACGGACGTACAGATAGACGGACACTCCCAAGTGGGGGTATACATGTATTTATTATACCTCTACTGATTTTTCACTATATAAGAGTAAATCGATATATTTTGCTGATTCCCTGAAAATCACCGTAAATGGACTGATTCCCTGCAAAAAGGTGCATCAGTTTGATGAACTGATACACACCTATTCGGAACACCTAGCAATTTCTTTTAATCGTATGAAAAGTACCGATATGTTCCAAATAAAATCATGAATATTCATGATGCAGATCACTTAAAGTTATATATAAGGAGGCGGGGCCTAATTTATACGGGAAAGAGTATCGTGTTATTGTGACGTCATCATAGTAAACTAATGTGAACTGAGGGATCACACAACTTTGTCACAGTGTAAATTATTTAAATAAAATAAATAAAGTTGCTTGCATATTCTGATACATGTATTTCATAGACAATTGATTATTGTATCTTATAAACATTTGATTCAAATGCGAAGACTTTATTTATTTATTTTATCTACATTCTGAGTAATCAATATTTTCATTGCCCACCATAATAAAATAGAATTGCAGTCACGGGTTTAGTTTAATTTTGGTATCGGTATAATAAAACAGTTAAAGTATATCATTGAGGGAGTTAGCAAGACTCCAGTTCCCCTCGAGCAAGTCTATTTCCCTCGGCTGCGCCTCGGGGAACTGGAATATTGCTGACTCTCTCAATGATATACTTTAACTGTATACTAACAGGGCATGAAACTCGCCCCCATGTTTGGTTTCGGCTCAGGGGCACTTACTGCTAACGAGAATTTCTCACCCAAGTCGGGGTTTTCTCAGACATCGGAAGCTGTCATTTATTAAAATAAAATAAAATCAGGTTGAATCTTGCAGAATTTTTTGTTAAATATATAATGAGTATATACGAATATAACGTCAAAATGTAAATTGTAATCCGTAGTCAAATTTAACATAAAAACAAAGGCCAAACAATTGGTATCAAATATGTCACTCAGAATACGACGCAACGATAGGTTGTATATATATGCTTACAAGGTCTGCGACTCATACGACCATAGAATTAAAGAGATGCTGACATTAAATGAGGTTGAAATCTCTATAACATCAACTTATTTGTCAGTAGCCTGCCTTTGTTTAAAACATGATCTTTCTCAGAGCATTCTCTTGAGTATCGAATAAGTTAGGAGACATCAATACCATTTGCTGGTGATAGATGAATATTACTGCATAAATAAGGAAAGTTGACGATGAAAAAGCTGAAGTTGTCTTGTTTATCAATATAGTTTAGTTGTAAGCTGACTACAGTCAGTAGAAAATCCAATTATAAAAGAAATGCAACAGACTTTATTTCGAGTTCACTTGAAAATATCAAGTGAATACATGAATGGAAGTAATACTATAATTGTTAATTGATAAAACGTTGTCGATGTGTCTAAATCTCGAATTAATGGCCACAGCAAATGTTTTCATCTAGTTTTTGAATAAATTCTGCTTCATAGTAATATAAAAACAGATCGGCTAATAAAGGAGCACAATTAGTGCCCATGGAAATTCCTACAGAAGACCAGGTCTCCAAAGATTACATTGATGTTGTCAATGAAGAACTCCAGAATCCTTTTAAAATCAACTTCAGAGTACTATGTGTAGAATCAGATGATTTTTTAACAAAGTAATTTTGTACATGAACCAATCAGAAGATATGAAAAATTCCGAGATTCATTTTTATTGAAGAAACAGTTGTCTATGATATGAAAAAGTTTAATTTTTGTTTATCGTGAGGAATGGTTTAATACAGTGAAGAAAAGTCATATAGTTTGATGTTACTTTTGAAAAAAAATTGTGATTTTAAATTTTCTTAAAATTCTTTGAAGTTTTTGATAACCGACATTCGATTTACATCACCTCTGGAATATGTTGTAGCACAGTACATGTGCGTCTGCAGTTTCTCCATTACAGCATTTAATATTTTTAAGGTTAGTATAAAAACAAGATGTGTTTGTGAAACATTGATGCCCCCGTATGGCAACTCATAACAAAGGTTAAACTTTCTCAAATGCAAATCAAATATGTTGGTAAATAAAGTAAGGTCTTTTCTCGAGGAATATACCTGTGAAATATGAAAACCCTAGCAGCAACCATTGAATAGATATGGAAAAGGTTAAAGTTTTTTAAAAGTAAGTCAAACATCAAGGTCAAGTTCAAATTGTCAAAATTAATGATGCCCAAAGAAAGGCCTTCTCACAAGAAATACACTTGTGAAATATGAAAGCCCTAGCACCAACCGTTCAAAAGTTATATCCAAGGTTAAAGTCTTTCAAAGGTAGGTCAAATTCCATGGTCAAAGGGTCAAAGTTGTTGGTATGCAAAGTAAGGTTTTGTCACAAGGATTACATATGTGAAGTAAGAAAGCCCTAGCACCAACCGTTCAAAAGTTATTGCCAAGGTTAAAGTTTTTCAAAAGTAGGTCAAACTCCAAGGTCAAGGTCAATGTTGTTGGTAGCCGAATGAAGGTCTTGTCACAAGGTATACCTATGTGAAGTTTGAAAGCCCTAGCACCAACTATTCAAAAATTACGGCCAAGGTTAAAGTCTGAAAAATTTTGCTTAAGTGGGTCAAACTCTAAGGTCAAGGTCAAAAATCAAATTTTATGGTACCCGAAGAAAGGTCTTGTCACAAGGAATATATATGTGAAATATGAAAGCCATAGCTCCAACCAATCAAAGGTTATGGGCAAGGTTAAAGTTTTTGCGGACAAACAGATTGACAGACAGACGGACAGGGCAAAAATTATATGCCCCCGAATCTTCGATTACGGGGGCATGAAAAATAGGTACTTAGTAGATCAATTGCTGGGCAAAGTATCTTTGTTTGTAAGGATTTTTACGAAATTTAGGAATCAAGTATAGGTAGGGTTGATCGAATTCACTTTGACTGGAACGTTTGTAATCTCCCTCGGGAGATGACACATTAAGTTTGTTATCCAGAAGTGAAGTCCTAGTGTAAGCTTCCATCGATAAGCAGGTGGTCTGGCAAATGACCTGATGATGACACGATTTCTAAATATAGAGATGTACACAAAATTGAGCGTTCTGTCTTACTATTACAAAATGGCCCACCTTAAAGTAAAACTACACAGGGTTCATGAAGAATAATAGAGGCAGT